CACCCACAATAAGGACAGGACTAGCAATATGCAGTGGACAGAATCTGTCTCTCTTTCCCAGTTTAAGTTGACCATTGGTGGAGCATAGGATCACGCTCTCTGAAAAGATTGCTAATCCTGCCAACACAGATCTAACTGAATCTGTACACAATAAGGAGGTCACATGAGGTCTAACCTGAAAGCGCCGCTTGGGCACTACATGTCAGGTTCCTCTGAGGATTCCAGGTGTCTTCTGCAGCTCAATGCTAAAATGGCCACAAAAGGCAGTGCCTGCAGCAGCGTAAAGTAGCCAATAGGAGCTGAGCTGGTCCCAGCCCATCCCATCCCACATTATTAATCACATTGTGTCTTAAAGAGTGTCCTCAACAAAAACTGAAAAGGGGAAGAACATGTTTTAAAACTGGAACAGCTGAAAATAACATTAAGCTGCTAGGAATGAGACAAAGGTAAAATAACGAAGATGTGGCATATATAACATGGGATACCAAGGTATGTCTGTGCCGCCGTTAGGGGGATATGTGGTTGAGCCCTCAGGTACAGTGCTCAGATCGGTCAGTAATTACTGTAGGCTCTTTTGCAAAAATTGCATAACTGTACATTAATTATTTTACTTGGTGTTTGTATTTGTCCAAGATGCAGGTTGGTAAATTGTGTTGTCTCTGTGGAACTATGTTTACTACATCTTGAAAAGTAATGAAATTCCTATAGTCATTTGCAGTTATGTTATTCTCCAGCTGTTTTGGAGGTCTAAGGGGTAGAAATAGAACAAAATAAGTTACAATATATAAACTATATATTTTTTCCTCTGTCTAAGATGAATAGAATGTTGAATATTCCCTCTGCATCACAGTTCTGGAATTCTTCAGCTCCCATCCAGTTCGACACCTGTTCATCCTCACTTCCATATAAATGTTCCCCTTATGAGACTATTTATTTATTAAATTACCACAGATCATTAGGCCCACACTAACAGGCACTTGTAACTTTGTATTTTTTAGCATTTCTGTGGGTTTATGTGGCCCTGGGTCATGTCATTTTATAAAATCATTACAAGTGAGATCATACAAAAATGTTTTTTAATGGTGTCTCATGCTCTGCATCGCTAGGTGTTTGATGTACAGTGGTACCTCTACTTACGAACTTAATCCGTTCCGTAACTCTGATCGCAAGTCAAGTTGGTCACAAGTCGAAGTAAATTTTCCCATAAAGTTCAATGTAATTACCGTTAATCCATTCCGGCGTTCGTGGACCATGCGTCGGGCGGAAAAACGGCCGCTGACCATGTGGAATGGGCGGAAAAATGGCCGCGGGCCACGTGTCAGGGGCGGAAAAATGGCCGCGGGCCACGTGTCAGGGGTGGAAAAATGGCCGCGGACCACGTGGAACGGGCAGAAAATGGCCGCGGACCACGTGGCACGGGCG